GGCGGGCCGGTCCAGCGGCCGCTGGGTAACGGGCCGCGGCGGCCGCGGGGCCGTCCGGGGGGACACGCCGTAGCCGCGGCCGCTGGAGAAAAATGCTGACTGGAGTTGTGCATAATGCGCTCTGCGTGCGATGGGTGGCCTCTGCGCCCCGCCCCACCTCACCCCGCCCAACCCCGCCCCGCCCAGTCCGGCACCGCTCCCATGCTCTCCTTGGGCGGCCCCGGAGCACGGCCGGCCGGGCTATCTGGGCGGTGCCATCGCCGCTGCCCCACCACACCACCACCACGCCCCCGAGTCAATCAGACCGTCGGGATCCCAGAGAGTCCTCCGTCGGATACGTACTCTACGCGTTGGATTGTCGTGCAAGTCGGCCAAGGTGAAGTGGGGCGGGGGCGAGGCGGGGTCGGGGAGCCGCGCATCTCCGCCCGCGGAGACGGCGGACGCACAGGGAATGCCGCGCTGCGACGGGCGCGCGTCGCTTTGCGGAAGGGGCGGCCAGCGGGGCCGGCGGGGACGCGGCAACGGGCCTGCGGAGCCTGCGGTCAGCGCCGCGTCGTCGAGGAATGCGGGGGCGTCCGCCTGGAGTCGCGAGTCGCAGTCCTGCTTGCCGGGGAGAACGATGCCGCCGTGTCGCGAAAGAGAGTGGGGGCGAGGGGTATGACCTCTGCCTGATGCTCTTCTGAAAGGTATGTAGAGAGACCGCCATCTACTCGCGTTTAACGTCCGTCTCCCTAGCGGCGTGCCGGGAGGGTGGGCGGCCTCTCTAGCCACACGCGCTACACGCTCGCCTGACACACACACACACACACACACACACACACACACACACACACACGTGCGCAATTATGCTCGAGATCACGTTTCGCGGCGCGCTCTCTGTGTTGTCGCTGCGTTTGTCAGCCAGTGACCTACCTCGAGCACGGCGACAGTCACCGGCGAAGGAGCGTGTCTGTGTGTGTGTATGTGTGTGTGTGCCTTTCTTAGTGTCGTTGCGGTGGCCCTATCAGATGCCCGGTTAGCACGTAATAGGCTGAGCAGAGGGAGGCGAAGGCAAGGCCAGAGTCCCCGTTATACACGTGTGTGGTGGCGGGGCGGGGCGGGGCGGGGCGCGGAGCCAAAGGAAACAACCACCACCGCGCGCGCGACTATTTCGGAGGAATGCTAAGGTAAAAAGAAGTAATAAGTGGTTAACCCCGTGGCTGGCGGGGCCCGCGGTAACGCACCGCCACCGCCGAGTCGTCTCTCGCTAACTCTGCGCGAGGCGCGCTTTTGATGTAACGGTATCCATCTTGCGCATGCGGTCCGCGACGGGACGGGACGCGACGCGACGGCGGCCTGACGTGCTCACTGCGATTTGTGTGTCTGACTTGCTCTGCCGGGCACGTTTCCGTGCGGCACCCACCACCGCCGCCACCGCGCTGAGGGCCTCTGCTGCAGGGACATTCTCCTCCCCCCCCCCCCGGACGCGCCGCCGCGTGTCCTGTTTGCGGTGGGTTCGCGACGGTGCTGCGTGTATCCTGCTGGGTCCCATGATGGACGTCGCGTACGCTGTCCTCCTCCTCACCCGGCCAGGCCCGGCTCCTCTGTCGCTCTGCGTGACGGACTCAAGTGCGTTACTCGTCTCGCTTTGCTACACGTTTCGTTTCGTGGCGTATTCTTGTCGTGCCGCTCATTTCTCACGCAACTGCCACCACCCGGACCAGCAGCGTGGAGTGGTCCGCTAGTCTCGGTTGACGACTCTTTCTCTCTGTCTCTCTCCCTTAGCTCCAGCCTCGTGACCCGACACTAGTGTGCCCCCTGGCGGCCCTGTCTCGGCCGGTGAGTTTTCCCCCCGGCGCCGCGCTGGCCGCGAGCCGTCCGCCCCACCCTGGCCAGTCTTGGCATAAAGGAAGAAAAGGGCAAAGCGGGGCAAAGGCAAAAGCAGGCGCCGCCGGTCGAAACGCGCTGAAGTAATTCGCACCCCTCATCCTCGTCCTCTTGAGGACCTTTTAAATATTCCACAATTCCCAAACACCACCGCTCGCGCCCTGGCCTTTCTCGTTGTGCTGCGCGGTGTCTCCTTCCCTCCCCCCTCGCGAGCTGGACTGTGCGACGCTACGCCACGCTGCGCTGGTCGAGGCGGCCGAGGCCCTGCTCCTGCCGCTGCTGCTGCAGCTGCTGCCGCAGCCGCCCGCCCGAGGGCCCCGCGGGCACGCCGCGGTCTGCATGTTTACATGCGGGGCCGTTTTACCTGTCGCCTCTCTGCCTTTCTCTCGATGAGCGAGTTCATTAGCGCCACTGCCACTCCCTCGCCAGCTCTGCTGCTCTGCTGCTCTGCTGCTCCGTGAGTGAGATGCTCCTCCCCCTCCCCCTCTCCGCGTTCTGCTGCTCTTCGTGCTCCGCCCGCACGGCGGCCAGTGCATGACTTTGACATTCGTCTTGTGGGAACGGATACGACCGACCGACCGACCGACCGACCGACCGACCGGCGTCCGACCCAGCCGGGGCAGCCGCCGCCGTCTTCCCGATCAAATCATCATAATCACTGTGCCGCGACCTTTTCGTGCCGCGGGTGGGGCGGGGGCGGGACGGGTCGAAGTCTCTATCCGCCAAATCACCATATGCACCGGCGGGGACTGGCCTGGCCTGGGTTGGTCTGTCCGACCGGCTCCCGCGCACAGGCCCCCCCTTCCCCCCTTTTTCCAAAGCAGACCGATTGCTGCGCCCCCTGTCCCAGTTGTTGGAGTGCGGCGGAGGGCGAGGGGAGGCGCCGTCGACGTGACATGGCGCAAAAGGAGGAAATCTCCTTGTGGGCCGGGCCGGCCGGTGCAGCGGCCCCGCGACCAGCGCTGCGGCACGACGCCGGCCCCGTCGCGTCTTCGCGGAATCGTTTTGCGCACAGCCGTGGCCCGGCGGCCCGTTGGCTGGCGAGGCGCGGCGGGGAGCCGGAGCGCTGTTATGAGAAATCCAGCGGGTGGCGGCGTTTGTTGGCGTGGCTGCATATCGATGAGGTGCCTGTCGGCTGGCGCGGTATATGTGAGGGAGGAGGCGCATGACGTCGCGGAGCGTGACACGACGCTCTCGCCATATCACATCTCCCTGTCTGTCTCCGTCGCTCTCACGCACTCGCATCCAGAGCAAGGCCCGTTCCGTCCCGTTCAGCACAGCGGAGCGCACAAGCAGCACACCGTCGCCGTCGTCGTCGCCCGTGTTCGAATTGGCCTCTTCCGCGTTGGGCCGGCTCCAACACACAGGGCGGCGCGCGCCACGCCCCGCGCGGATGTCATCTCAGTAACGGGCCTGTCCCGGTGTGGCCCGGTGTGCCCGGCCCGGCCTGGCCCGCACAAAGGACAAGGAGTGAGGTGAGGGGGGACGGCCGGTCATGTCATCCACTGGACTGGAGAGGGAGGAGCTGCAGGGGCGCGCAGATGAGTGTGGGAGCCCTGCTGCTGGAAATGTCAGCTACTACTGCTGCCGCATGACCTCCGCCGCGCGATTCTCTCGCATTTTTATTTTTTTAATTTCAAAAAAATACATGTTTTCTCCTCTGATTTAGCAGTCGAGTTGCACCCAAACGCCCTTGTCTCCTCCGCCTCTCTCGCACTCACTGCCAGCAGCGCTGCCTCTCTCTCTCTCTCTGCGTCGCCCGCGTCTCAGTAATTGCAAATAAGCGTGGCGGGTGCCAGAGCCGCAGAGTGCCGAGCTGTTGCTTTTAAAAGCCGGCGTGCGCTGCTGCTGCTGCTGCCGCCGCCACTGCGGCTGCGGAGGTTTGACCCACATAATTCGGAGCCCTAAGGCTAAGAAGGGCCTGGCGGCCTGGCGGGCGGTGGCGTGGCCATCCTGGCCTGGTGCGGCGGCGTGCCGTTGTGGGCGGGGCACGAGGCGCACTGCTGCTGCTGCAGTGCCTCGCGGAAAGGAAAATAAATGCATTCATTCTCGTTTCTTGTCTGCGTTGTATTCGAGGAATATATATAAGAAAAGCGAAAAAACGTTTTGTTGGCAGTGTGAGCCGGGCGGGCCCGTTAAAACCATTACGGTCCCCGCTGTGGGTCCGCCACCGCCGCCGCTTCCTTCCGGTATTGTTCTCCCGCAGTGAGGCTGATCGGCGAGCGGCCGGCCCGCGGCCCAGTCCAGAGAGCAGAGCGGTGCTGGAGCAGAAGCAGGAGGAGGAGGAGGCAGAAAAGATTTCAGGCGCGTGCTCCTCTGGCGGCCCGTGAGGCTCGTGGACTCGCGGTGCGGTACGCGCGCTCGTGCACCAGGAGTCGCACGCACGACGCGGCCGCGAGCGCAGAGTCCCGCGGGCGAAGAGAGTTCCGTGGGAAGAGAGTCTCTCTGGGAAGAGACCGCCGTCCTTCCCATCAGGCGGGGAGCCGCCCGGCGCGTAGGCCACCGCGCCCGCTGCGCGCCGCCCGCCTGGGCGGGTGGCCTACCCCGCGGCGCTCGGGGCCGGGCCAGGCCGGGGGCCGGGGGCCGCACCGGGACCGGGCCGAGCCGACACCGTGACTAAACTGGACTGGATCACTTTCCGAGGGCCCTTTGTTTGCCTTGCTCTGGCTGTTACTACCTTGCTCCAACGAAGCGTGGAGGAGAGAGAGAGAGGGGGGGGGGAGGGCTGCGCATGTGGGACTCGCGTTAGGCCTGTTAGCAAACCGGGCGGGGCGGGCAGGCGGGCCGGTGTCGCGCGCGGAGCCGAGTGCATGGTAGGTGTCCTCGACCTGCGCCCCGCCCGCGCCGCCCGCGCCGCCCTGCCGCGCCCCACGGTAACGTACCGTAACTCGTGCCGGGTTGGCCACGCCCGCAAGGACGCCGGCGGGCGGCGGCGGCTGCTGCTGGTGCTGTCCTGGCTGCTGTTGGCAGTATTGGCAGCCTGACCTATGCGCGAGGCGTTTAGCTCACTGGAAATATTGCCGACCGAAATGGACTACTGTGTTACGCTGCGCCTGTCCACTCGGCGTCGGAGGGATGTTTGTGTCAGTGGAGGATGCCGTGTCTGACGAGTGGTTTTGTCTTTGTGTTTGCAGGAGCACCTCCAAGGCCTCGTACCTGGCGCTGCGCAAGGGCGGCGAGCGCGAGTCGACGCTGCCCAGCTTCGAGGGGAGCTACAAGCAGACGCAGCCCTCGGGCCTGGTGCCCGCCGGACACGTGCCCACGGGCGGCGTGGCGCTCACCAACCACAGCGTCGCGCAGCCCCAGGCGCCGCCCCGGCCCCACCAGGACATCGTGCTCATGGTGGTGCAGCCCAAGTCCGTCATAGGTGAGTGTGCACACGCGTGCAGCTGTCGCGGTTGTTGTCCCCGATCACCGAGATCGTGTTACTGATTTAATTCTTGGTGTGTCCGCAGCCGAGCGCCAGAGGCTGTCTTCCGACGAGGAGCGGTCGCCCAAACATCTGAGCCCGTCATCAAGCCCCACCCACACCAGTCACACCCATACGGCCGTCCCGGCGATCGCAGTTCCGGTCCCGACCTCGCTCTCCGCTTCCCTGGCCAGCGACTCGGACTCGTGCTGCAGCGCCGACAGGCTGTCGCTGTCGCTGTCCCTCTCGCCTTCCCCGACGTCCGCGTCGTCCCCTTCGGCGTCGCCCTCTCCTCCCGTGACGAGCTCGGCGACCCCGTCGCCCCCGCTGGTCAACTACAAGCAGACTCCCAGCGAGCCTGTGGCACCACCTACCCCGCCCTACCCCGTCAACCACCACCACAACAGCCGCGTCAACAACCTCACACCTTCGGTGGCGGTCGCCGCGGCCTCGCTGTGCAATATTTCGCGCACAAGCGACGCCGCATCTCAGACCGACCTGGTGCAGACCCCGCCGCCCTCGCCGCCACCCTCTCCCCCGCCATCACCGCCGCCCTCGCCGCCTCCGTCGCCACCACCCTCGCCGAAGCCCGGCCAGAAGCAGCGGCTGCACGAGGAGCTGGAGGTGGAGCGGCTCTCGCGGGACCTCGCGAGCCGTCTCCACGGCAACGAGAGGCTGCAGGAACTTCTAGGTAGCTGACATATTTTTAGGAATTTGCATTTATAAAAACCAACCCAAATGTTTTTACTTCGGGGTAAATTTGCAGAACGGCCATTGTTTTTCCTTTGTTTTACACATTTTTCTTTTTGTATTGCAGCACCTGCTCCAGAATACAAGAAGCCAGCGGATTATGTTACGGGGCTCTTCAATGTGGCTGTTCGGCCCAGGAAAACATGTTCAAAGTCGACATCCACTTCAATGTGTCCACCATCATCAAATAGTTTAACCATGACAGTTTTGGCTCAGCCAGTTTCTGTCGAGAGCGTAAGCTCTAGTACACCTATGAAAATAGAATCAAATCCACCAGTTCCCAGTAAAAGAGAATCTTATACTAATAGTTTATCAAATTCAAGCCTGAACTCAAGTCGATCCTCATTAGAGGTTTCATCAAGCAACGGCTGTGTAGGCTCAACTTCTCCCACTAGTCGCTCAACAGAAACTTCCAATTGCATGTAAGTTTTTCAATCAGTTAATCTTAAAATACCCATATTAATGCTGTATTTTGTCTACTTTTTAAACAGCATCAGTATATTTATCTGTTTTTACTCTTTTACAGGGAAGCCTTGCCAGCTAGCTCAGCATTTTTTGCTACATCAGAATCCAAAGCTCGTCTTCTTACAAGGCTTAGCCAAGACAATTCCTCAGCAGTTGATCTCAGTGGAACAGAACTGAACCAAAAGAAGGTATGCAACTTTTCCCTCTTTTTTTATATTTTGTTTCATTGAATAATTTTTTTGCAGTAGTTTTCTTCTAGTTACTGTGATTTGATTTAGTTTTTAATTTTTTTGTTATGTGCCTTGTTAGGAGGAATTGGTGACTCGCCTATCAAGAAAATTAGAAATTCTTCGAGAAGAACAAGATGCTTTGACTGAGGAGCGAAGACTTAATGAGGAGCTAGGTGAAGCTGTTTGTACCAGAGTAGGGAAAGTAGCGCGACCTGGACAGTCATCCAAGTTGCGTTTACATGTCTCTGAAGTGGGCCACATAACATCTTTATTGCTTGGGCTTTCGGGGCGACTAGCAAGAGCAGAAAATGCCCTTCTCGCCTTGCCACTCCACCATCATGAAAGAGTATGTATATTTTTTGATAAAGCAACTCGTTATGACTGCATTAATTTAAAGGCACTAATTTACTTCTTTATTTATTTATTTATTAACCTTAGGTTTCCCTTGAGAGCAAACGTGATAAACTTCTATCTCAGCTGATGGAAGCCAAGCAGTTGAAGACCAGCATCGACCAACGAAGTGAAAGTGTGATGAAGTCATTGTCAACATGCCTTAGTCCATCTGACCTTGATGATTACCAGCATTTTATTAGTATGAAAGCCAAACTTATTGTTGATGCCCGAGAATTAGCAGATAAGATCTCACTTGGGGAGGAACAGCTTGATGCCCTGCGTGAAACCTTGTCATAATGAAATGACTTTTTGCAAACCCATTTTGTTTATTTAATTTTTTTTTGTCAGCTTTAAACTTGAAGCTTTGAGTTTCTTGTTTTCTACTATAGTTTCAAAAGACTGCACAGGCTTCAAATTGGTATGTGAGCTTCTTGTTATTTGGCTCTAATTTATCAGTATTGTAACTTTAATAACAAAAAGTTCAGAAACAATGGACAGTATCCAATGTTTAAAATGATTGGTCCTATCTTTGTTCAATTTTTTCAATTGCTTAACAGTTAAAAAAATATTGCGCTATATACAGCTGTTAACTGTGCAATTATCATAAACTAAATTTTGAACGCAAGAGCTCGACAATATATGCTATAAGCCAATGTACTGATATGAAAATCAAGAATTATTATCAACTTAACTTCTGACAATGATGTAAAAGTGAAAGTGGGCAGGAGTCATGTGTTCTGACTGACCATTCTTACCTAGGTCTGGACTACTCTCAGTCATCAGTCACACTTAGTGCTCAAACCATTTTGAGTTGAAATATCCTTGTATTTAAGTCAGAACATGATACTCCTAGGTCAATTGAGAATCTCGTGTTAATACAAAACACCTCAATTGTATTGTTATTTGATTAAAAGAAAATTGTGATGTATATTTGAGATGCAAATGGTTTGTGGAATTTTTGTGTCATATATTCTTGCAGAAGTAGAAATATAAAACTGTTATCATCTGAATGCATTATTCAGTGAAATATCAATGCCATGTGATTCTCCAATGCATTATATCAAACTAATAGTTTTACTTGTATGCTCATTATTACCGAACTCCTGAGGAAGTTGAATGCCCGAAGATACTCTGTGTATTTTACTCAATTAGATGCTCACAACAATAGATATCTTGTTACAGTATTTTGGAAGCCAATTTAACTATGCATTTTTAATCTTTATTTAAAAACTACATCATTCAAGGTACCCCTCTGTTCTGTAATGCACCATTAAAATTCAAAGGTGTATTATTTAATGGGCTCAAGTAATGACTGCCTTCCTCAGTGAGTATGTTATATTATCCTTGCCCAACAAGAATTGTCATTAGCATCTCAAATATGGGTAATATGTAGAAATTTTCCAAAAGAGGTAATCTCTTTTGGTCTATGCATACCTAGTCCTGTTGCTTGTCTATACTGCTCTTTCCTAAGGAGTCTTTAAGGCTCTTGTTTGGATTAAACTTGCCACTGATCATCAGTGATAGTCCATTTTAAATTTATGAATCCGTCCAGGAAAAACCAACCATGGCAGTAGACATGTAATCATAAATGTACAGTATTGTTGCTTCCTGTTGTTATTGCTGCTGCAATGAATGCAGTGTTCTTATCTAATCTCTTCATAGCTGTTTTAATAGATGGCCCTTCAGCGGTCCACAGGAAGGCTGCTGTTGAAAGAACATTTTAGAATAGCTTTTCAAAGAACATTTTATTTCAACAAGACTGCTGACATGTGCCATCTATTGAATTTTCTTGTGGAAATTTTCTTGTCCACTTTCAGCTGTGTACTCTTTTGTATGGTCATCAAAGCCATTCTTATACCTTCTGTACAAATGTTACTACGTAATTTAAGAAAGAAGTACTTTTTCCTTGAGAATACTCCTTTGACCACAGTTGCTCTCAAGGAACGACTTCTGTATTGTGATACTGATGATGTGAATTGTAAATAAATGAGTAAATAAACTGATAAATTTATTGAAGAACACATTCTGAGTATCATAAATTTTTTTCCACCCCTACAACTTTAATTTAGAAATATTTCACATCCGTCATTTCTCTGGAATTCCTGCTACCCTTTGATTTAAAAACACATCAGTCAGTCTCATCAAAGCTGGCACAACACTTTTTCCTAAATATCTTCTTTGTAGCCATACATCCAAAGATTTTCATGACGGAATACCTCACATCACAGTATAAGTTTTATTCTGCTGTAATGATAATAAACTTCAGACTTCAATATCACTCTCATCAAGAACCACTCCAAAAAACAGTCATTCACTTAATTACAAAATGTTTTCTTAAATCCTTTCCAGGAACAAATACTAGGTATATTCCACAATCAAAGCATTTGTTTTCTATTTGTAAACATCACAGAAATTTTAATATCAATCTATGTACATCGTACGAAGACTGCATCTACAGTCCATGCCCATGTCGTACAAGGAGACCAACGTCCACGTAAATCTTCTATTTGGTTCATAAGCGCGCATTAACCTGTGAAAACCCAAATAAGCACATGAAAAGGTGGGTCTTAATTGTGTGAAAAAGTCATTAATATTGCTGAATACACATATTTACCAAAGTCTCCCTGTTAGAAAAACGCCCCATCCTCCATCAGGCCGCGCTGAGCAGCGCCTTCTCATCCATTGGCCACTCCATCCCCGTGCTGCCCTCTTCCATGTAGCCGCATGGCTCCGCACCTGTCAAGCACAACAGATTAGACACGTCGTGTAGCTACAGCCGACAGTGCCCGAGTCAGCTTCAACTGAACCGTCTACAGACGAATTCATTACTTCCGCCAGTGCTAGAATATCAACCAGAAGGAAACTAAAGCGAAAACGAAAGATATCAATGCCGTGGGGGGAGGGGGGTCTAGAACAGCGTTACGTCACATTTTTTTGAGTTAAGAAAATTACGTTTTTTAGCAGCTTTTATCGAGTCAATTTGCCGAACAGCGACTACTTCTTAGCTTTAGAAAGGATTTATGAGCCTGGAGTCAAAAGGAGCCTAAACCCAAAGTCC